CAGTCACCACCCCCACAAAGTGGGAGAGCGCCAACGCGCCTTGGTCAAGGCTACCCATTGACTTAGCGGGTCCAATACACGGCAAAACCTTCTTGGTGGTCGTAGATTCATACTCTAAATGGATCGATGTGGCCCAACTATCCACGACCACCACGCAAGCGGTTACCAAGGCTCTGACCCGCCTATTCGTAACACACGGGCTACCAGATACCATAGTTTTGGATAATGGCCCCCAGTTTGCCTCAACAGAATTTAGCCGTTTTGCCACCAATCTTGGCATCCGACACATCTTCACGGCCCCCTTTCATCCTGCCAGCAACGGACTGGCGGAGAGAGCCGTTAGATCCACAAAAGAAGCATTAGCCAGATTCAGCAAAGAAGATTGGCATCACAGACTCTCCCGCTTCTTGCTAAGCCAACACTCAACCCCTTGCATGGTCACCAACAAATCCCCAGCTGAACTTCTGATGGGTAGACGCCTAAGAACTGTGTTGGATAGGCTCCACCCTCACTATTGCCCTGACACCCCTCTCGCTTCAATGACGGGGGTCAGAGATTTTGTCTTGCAGGAACATGTCTTTGCAAGGAACTATGCCGGAGACCCACTTTGGATTCCAGGAGTGATAGTAGCCATCACCGGTCCCATGTCGTACCGAGTCCAGCTGGAAGACGGCCGCATCTGGAGAAGACACCTGGACCAGCTAAGGAAGCGACAGGGTACCTTCACCAGTGCCGGATCGTGGGCTCAGGTCGACCCCCAGGTGCCACACCAAACTCTCATCGAAGACCATGCCAGAAACTCTTCACCACCACCACCCAGACCAAGGGAGCAGGCAGTAGACCGGGACTGCCCGATGGGTCCTCCACCTGAACCAGCAGACGGGGCCACGACATCGCCGACCGGAAGCACTGCACCGGTACCAGCGCAAACCTCAGAGCGAGGTTGCACCCCATCACCAACCCTACCGGTTTCCTTGAACTCTGAGACACTTGGTAACTCACCGGAGTTACGACGCTCGGGGCGCCAGCACAGACCGCCCGCTTATTTAAATGACTATGCGTGTTCGCATCTGGGGGGAAGGGGTGTTATGTCCCTGGAACTTGCCAAAGTCCCCACCCAGGTCCGTTCATGCTGCGGGGGCGTTTGCTGCCCCTCATTGGCTGGCCTCCCTCGACAGCCGGCTATAAAAGCCAGCTGCAGGGTCCGGTCAGCCGCTGTTCGCTGTGAGCCTGCTCCAGGCAGGGCTAACACGTTCAGTCCTTTATTGTTTCAATAAAGTCTTGTTGCATCCATGCCCTGGTCTAGCCTCTCATTGCTCAACTACAACAGATACAATATAGAATATATGGACTAACTGGAGATTAAAACAATTCCAGTAATCCCCAAGTCTATACCAACGTGACAAAACAACATGGAAAATGTTTCAGTCCTAGTTTTTTTCCATGTTAACTTTTTCATTTGTGGAACTGGTATGGTTTCAAGTAATCCTTATAATTTATTTAACCATAACTATAAATTACAATCATTTAAATAAATGATCATCAATAATACTTCCAGTATCATTTATTTTGTAAATATCAAACATTTGTACACAGGTTTTGCGCATATATGCTAATTTGCACCACAAACTTACCTACTACCTTCATTACAATAGTTTTTATCTGATACTTTTTGATGACTGAAACTATAAGCGACATGTAAGCAAATGGAAAGGGAAGAAATGTGGTATTTTGTTTTTAACACCAGTATCTTTCAGATAGATTAAAATGAAGCTTCCAGAATTCTTAGTCAAACCATCCAAATATTTGGAGTGGGCCAAATCTAAAAAATGGCTTTACATGTAAAAATGGCTTTTGCACGTATCTGTAGAACTGTATTCATATAATAGAAGACTGTTCCCTCCAAATGTGATTAATGTATCCAAAAGAAAAAATAGCAATACAACTACTTTTTTCTCTTCAAATCTAATAAAAGTGAAGTATTAAATTCTGGTCTTGCTAGATAGTTCAATCTCTTAAAGAGATATTATGGAAGCACATTTTTAAAACCCTACGAGCATAAGATTTTGTGCTAGAATTCTATAAACATCTTAACAATTATATTGTGATCACCTCCTAATAGTCTAAGTTTGACTAACAAAATAGTCATACTCCTATGTCACTGCCTCCCTGTAGGCAATACAGGCATTTTTCATCTAATTCATTTTTAGAAGAAGTTTATGTGAAATATTATTATTTTCATTTTTTTTTAAAGAAAACTTGCTTTGGTTAGGGCAAAGATAAGAATTAACCAGGAGTGAGTGAAAACAGGTTTTAAAGACAGCTACGTCCCCATTTTGTAGAACAGAACAAAGAAGGAGATAACCCTTTTCTAGCCAAATTCCACCAATACATGGATGACAAGGCAAAGGTTAGATAGAGTAGGCCTTAAATATGAGGAAGGCTTGGATTTTACTTATTCCATGGATTTTTGGAGATTATTTAAAAACTATATTAAGCCTTTTTTTAAGGAAGGCTTTTTGACCCCAGTTGAAACTAGGGTTTTTTAATATGATAGAGGAGTTCCAAAAGAATTGGGACTGGGAGGCACAGATGGTCTGATTTTGAGCTAAAAGCAGGAATAAGCATCACTATATCCAAGAAACAATCATATGCATGAACCCCTTCACAAGCAGATGCCTCCTTAGCAAATTTTCATACCATAATCTGCTCAATCAAGGTACAAAAGTGGTAGAAGAGAAGGCAGCAGGGGAAGGAGGGGTCATCCATGTTTGTCTTGCTCTTAAAAAGACAGACATATATAATTCTTCTTATTCCCCCTTTTAAATTAGATGTGTGAATTTGTTTTATTTTCCCTCAAGAGCAATCTGCTGCATTCTTCCATCAAACCACTTTTTTCTTTCTTTCTGGCAACCACGACACACATTGAATTCTTCAAGATAAAAGTGACCATTTTGCAGAGGGATCGTACTGTATGTGTTTTATACTGCCCACACCATGTGACCAAGTCACATTTCAAACACACATATAAACACAGCAGTCAGTGTCAGATTTAAATTAAGACATGATTCTGAATGGCCCAAGCCCAGGAGAACAAGAAGGATTATGTTGTCTGTCATAATGAGAAAAAAAAATAAGTAAGAAACACAGGCACAGTGAAAATACAAATCTTTCTTTCGCTTTCCTCACACAAACACCTCATTTCTAAAGGTTTAGCTATCAAAACACCTTCATTATTTCATTTTCTCATGTAACTCATCCTGTTTCCTCTCCTTTTTCATGGCTGAAGGTGATGAATTTAGATTACTATCTTAAGACTAGATTATTTTCAGTGAGAAGTGTAGAATTTCCAGGCTCAAAAATCTGTTTCGTGCTTCCTTTACATTCTTGATCTCCATTAGCATAACCAGTTTTAAAAAAACAAACACACTGAAACACAGTGACAGGACTGAGGAATAAAAATAATGGTAAGCCCTCTCCCTTTTTTCTCCCTTTCTGACTTCTTACTTTTCCCGCCTCAGGAAGCATGGAGTGTCACCAGAGGCTTGAAAAATTGACTCTGGCCTCTCAATGTGCCATAATATTTCTGACCTGCCAATAAAATGGATACAGCAAAAGAAAAAGACTTTTCTGGTACCATGTATGATTTGTGTGGCTCCTTCACACCCTATTCCTCTCTCAGTAAACCATGTACAGGGTGATGAAGTTTGAAAGAAAAACCGCTATACCTCTAAGGAAGGGAGAGGAAGAGAAAACCGTCACAAGAAAGGAGTGAACCCACTGCTTTCTGGAGTTGTCAAATGAAAAATCTGGTGTCATGGACTTGTGGACAATAATTGCAGCTGCTCAAACCGTCTCGACTGTGGAGAAGAATGAAACACAGTCAATTATGAAACTGTCCTCAACTTCTGTGACTTGTTAAAGCTGTGCCTAAAAATTTATTTCTTTTGCTGGTATCCAATTCTATTCAAACTCAAAGGAACTTATAAATAAGAAATCATATATATCATTCTGCTGACTGTTCTTAACAGGACTTACTGGCCACGTAACTGAGAATGCAGGAATTGAAGTCCTGCATAATCCATAGATTCAGAGGGAATGCAATTTTTCAAAGTAACCAAACTAAACTACAGACTGCAGTTAAAATTGCTTTTTTTAAAGCCTATTGAGATCTGAGGGTTTTTCAGTGGTCACTGAACTATGATATGCAGCATCCTTCATTGTGGTTCACATGATTGAAGCTCTGGGTTTCAGCAAAAATGGAAGGCTTCGGAAGTCAATTCATTAAAGTGTCTCTGTCTCTTAATGCAGCCACTTTCTTTAGGCTCATGCAATCTCAACTGCCCCCCCCTCCAATAATGCCACAATAAATACCAGAACTATGCCACAATTTATAAAGTCTAAAACATGGTTTTTTTAAAACAAAAACAAAAAACTTGATGGAGTTCTGAGACACTAACAGTGAAAAAAAAGTACATGTAAATGCAGTCAATTTTTTATCACTTTAACTTTGCCTTTTTATTTTGCGCATGTGTGTCTGTGTGTGTATTTTCTAAAGACCTTCTTCTGAATCACTGTGAAACTGAACAGAGTCAGCAGAAATAACACTGAATTTATGGAAACATAATTTAATCGGATTAAGGCAGGCTCTTCAACTTTAACCAAAATGATACCTTTAAAAGAATGCACGTGTTAAAGATGGAACATAAACCAGGATTATTGTACCAAAGGTGCTTTTTTAAAGAGGCAACTGGACTTCCTGGTTTTTCTTTGAAGACATTTTGCTTCTCATCTAAGAAGCTTCTTGGAAAAGCACCTTTGGAATAACCATGACCTGGATGACTGAGAATCTCCAAGGATTATTGTACGTGCTTTTATGCATGCATCCCTGGTTTACTGAAATCAAATTAGATCTGTTAGAGTCCAAGAAACTCATGACAATACAATTTTTCCAATTGTAAGACTTTGAAAGGGGGAGGTCCCTTTAACCTGGACATTACCTGTGGATGAGGTAGACACTACAGTTGCTGTGGTGGACGACTGGGGTGGGCTGGTGCTTTCTAGCAGGCAGGAACTGTTAGCGTTGTTCTCTTTCTTCACATACATTTCTGTGGTACTAGGCAATGGGATGGGGTGGCTGATCCCCAGCTCTTCCTCTTGGGCTTGTTGTCTTCTCAACGCAACCTGGAAAAGGGAAAACTACACTTTATTTTGCACTGTTCTCTGAAAAACAACAGTAGCAACATCGGGTAGAACACTGCCGTTTTATTTATCTTAACACACTTGAAGGTTTACGGACGCAAATAAAGACACAATTTTAAAGCTAAAAAAATAAAGAAAAGATAAGAGGAAAAAAAATAAAGAAACCTAAAAGGTAAGCATCTACCAATAACATTTCTAATGTGGCAGCTATCTAATTTTAGTTAACTATTCTTTTTAACCCTTTACTTTAGTGAGTTTGGAAACCTTCTGAAATACAAATTGAGATCCTTGGAAAATGAAGGATCAATTTCAACTATAATTAAATGAACCCTTTTTACTGAAAACCAGAGGTGGAGATTCTTTTTATTCTTGTTTTATAACGAAGGATTTAATCAACTGGAGTTAGTAGGATTAACAGCATCTATCTTTCATAAACAACATAATTTTTCACCTTTATCTCATATGCATGCCACATGAGTCTTTTAGGCATCTCAGGATGTAAGCCTTATTAAAGCAAAATAATCCGAAGTACTTGATACAGAATTTATGGAGCAAATGTGAGGTTTTCAAAGGGCTATTCTGCTCTGGAAAAGAATTAAAATCACGTTTCAAGTTCAGCGTCATTTTACAGAAATCTCACTTAAACCAATCCAGGCAGATCTTTCCTGAGCATTATTTTATAAATTATCTTATGCTGTTGCAATGTAAGCAAAGTGAAACAAGACTATATATTCTGGGCCACTTAATTACACATAGGTAAAATATATACAGTATGTCTCTCATTCAGAGTTACCATTAAGAAATGGCATTTTTTCCTAGCACAGATCCTTTAACAGTTACATAATATTGAGCAAGAGTGTGAAAATGTTTCAAATCTGAACTGTTCTGAACTCAAAATATGCCTGTCATAATTACAAAACAGACTATTTCAATTATTTGGAAAGCATTCTTAGCAGAAACAAAATTGTTCAGAGAACAAAATGACTTTCAAAATGACTGGAAGGGCCTGTTTCACACTTGACATGTTCTAAACGCACCAACTTTTGAGAACTAACTACAAGGAAAAATATTGTATGGCTGATTTTCAGACTGGTACAAAATGAAAAGTAAGTTAACTGATAACAAAGAAGCAGAATGCAGAAACAGAGACAGATGTAACACCGTAGCTAAAGGAAGCAAAAACAGGCATACAAATATCATTAAACCAAAACACGTTTTAACATTTAATGGACCAGGAAGGAAAACATTAATAATTAAGTCAACTGATATTAATTCAATGGAAATGTAGAACTTTTGCATCTTTTTAACAGATTGTTTGGATCTGCTGAAGAGATAAGTTTTTTTATCTAAGGAATCAATTTTTTCAACCCAAGACACTCCAGATATGATGTGCTATTTCTATAATCCCAACAGTGTTGTAGCTAGGGATGATGGGTGTTGAAGTTCAAAGGCATCAGAGTCTGCAAGAAAGATTTGATCCTCACACTATCATACACCTAAGCAGTTACAGCTTTATTGCAACCAACTCAGTAGTGGGATTCAAATTTTTTTACTTCCAGTTTTATGGGCGTGGCTTGGTGGGCATGGCAGGGGAAGGATACTGTAAAATCTCCAGTCAGAGGTGGTATTTGCTGGTTCTCTGAACTACTAAAAATTTCATTTAGTGTCTGTTCAAAATGACGACCACACTGAAAAAAAGTTACTTATGAGCAGTTTTCACACGTATGATGGATGCAGCAACCCTACGATCGAAATTTGGGCACTTGACAGCTGGCATGTATTTCTGGCAGTTGGGACTGCCTCGGTGTCATATATTCACCATTTGCAACCATCCCAGCCAACCTCTGACAAGCAAACTCAATGAGGAAAATCAGATTCACTTAACAACTGTGGCAAAAAAGATCGTAAAAGCACTTAACTGTCTTGCTTACAAATGAATATTTTGTACTCCATTGTGGTCGAGGACTACCTGAATTTAAATAACAATAAAAGTTGGCAATAGCTAAACTATGAGATTAAAATTCAGACATATATTACAAAACCTACTCACAGATGGTCTTTTTTTTTTTTTTTTTTACAAATGATTGCTAACAAAACCAGAATGTATTTAGCAATCATTTCTTTTTTTTAGTGATGTAATCTAAACTGTCGAAGAACTTTCTAAAGCCCTGTCCCATTTGTAGTTTACAGCAACATCAGCGTGTCTACTACCCAAATTTCTTCCCTGATCATCTGGTAGTCTCAAGCCCATGATTTAACAGCTGTGTGTCATTATTTCCATGTTTCCGTTAGCCAAAACGCAAGAATGGCATGTGATTCTTCTACACTGAGTTCTTTATTGTTTTCATACCTGTACAGACAAAATCTTGCCAGACTGAGGACTCTTATCTGTATTTACAATATATTACATAAACTATTAGAGACTCTTCACCCTCTTTCTCTCACATGTAACATCCAGACCGAGTTGCCTTTATTATTCCTCTGGACTGCACCCCCTGGGGAGCCAGCCACCTTACTACATTCCATCATAGTATCAGAATGAAACGAGTTTTACCCACGGTTCCATCATAGTATGAAGGCATATTAAATCTGCAAATTCTGGCACCCATTCTTCATGGTGCCGAGGTCAGGTGATCAGCTGAAGTGTATTTGGGGGTTCACGGCTTGTGTCCCTGCATGGCCTCTCTTCTCTGGTCACCGGTCTGCCTCTTTGGGTGCCACTTCTTATCTGCCACTATGAAGCTGACAGTGACTGTCTTACATTATTGAAAAAAATCTTATAATATAAAAACTACAAATGAAATCAAAACCAACGTTTTAAAATGATTCTTAGAAGAGAACTGCAAATTATTATTATTGACTGCTAGCTCATTCAAGCTTACAGGTAAAATCATTTCCTAATGGCAATGCATACTTTATTTACTTGTTACTTGCAAACATTCTTAAGGAGATCACCGTTATTTTTTTTACCTATTCAGTCCTTACAAATGAACAAAACTCCTTAAGAAATAGAGAAGTTTTGACACGACATCTTTAACTTCATTCTATACTCCCTGTCTTAACCAAGCAATTCCCATTTAGAAGATCCTCTTCCTAACCTTGCTGGAGTGACTCCTTAAGACCTGGGGCCTTCAAACTTGTCAGCTTTAAGGCTTGTGGACTTCAACTCCCAAAATTCTTTCTCCAGTCATGTTAGCTCAATTCTGGGAGTTGAAGTACACAAGTCTTAAACTTGCCAAGTTTGAAGACTCTTGCCTTAGACCTTTGATTGCTTTTCTGTTGTATTTGTAGAGAAAGCTGGAATTTTATTTATTAGATTTTTAACTCATCTTTATTATTGTGTAAATAATTCAACGTTCCTAATACTCATTCCTCTTATTTTCTCCAGAACAACAATCCTGCGAGGTGGATTGGGCTGAGAGAGTATGACTGGCCCAAAGTCACAATTGTACAACAGTGTGTAATGGCATCATATGCTTAGATAACCAGATATTATTCCGAGTCTCATAATGTTAAGACACCAATCACAAAGGCTGAAACAAATTGTGTAACAAAAAAACATGAGGTGCACTATAGTCATAACAAACGCTATGGAAAAAGCTAAGGGTTCATGGTACAATTAGCTAATATTAAGATAGCATTATTCTGTAGTGACATAAGAAAGTTGAATAGGTGCTGAACAAGCCTTGTTGGAGCAAGCCTTTCCATCAGTAGGAACAATGCTATATTAATAGTAAAAAAAATGCAGTTGTTTCCTTTGGAGTATTTGAAAGAAACAGTTTAGGTTTAAAAGAGATGTGTACTCTGCAGAACAAAGTGTATTTCCCAAAAAACAAAGTTTGTTCATATTCACTTAAAGCAATCAACTATTGTATGGGAGCAACTTTAATGATAAAAGCAAACCAGCACAAACCTGCATAGTTACTGGATAGGTTAGCACAGGAAATTTTGACCTTGATACTTGGGAGTCTTATAAATCCCATAACAGTCAATTGGACATAACTCTAGATAAGTGCAAAAGTAGTATTTAGCAATTGCTCTTGTGCAACCATCTGTTGTACGACAAGTAGTAATGTTGTCTTGAAAGTGTAAAATGCATGTTGTTTCTGTGCCAATTTCTTTTAAAAAGTGAACACCCAGATAAGCCAAAGAATCGGGCACTGATGGTCACCCAATGGAATGGCATTCTACTTTTGACTTGCCGAACTGGCATTCTTGAGATATTTTGGACTACAATTCCCAGCAAATCCGGAGATTGCAGGCTAAATTGAAAAAACAACTGTTGTAAGCTTATGACAGCACCCTTTTCAAAGTATTCAGAAAACTTCAGTATAATTTTTCCAATTTCTCATGATTCAAGCTAAACATTCTGAATGAAAAAAAAAATACATTAGTTTACATTTTTCGAACAAGAAGAATTTTTTTAATACAATGATTTTGCAACTGAAAATGCTGAATACGTTATTTTTCAAAAATATTTTTTTCACTCACTGAATTTTAAACCTTGTAAATGAAAACAAAGACATGAACATGTTAATGCTTGGGCGTTACTGATACTCAAATTTGACATTACGTTTTCATTGATTAAAAACCTAAACTAATGAATCTTTCACTAAGGAGTCTTTCACCGACTAATCACTTATTTTCTAAGCATTTATTTTCACTATAAATATCAGTCTCACACTTACAAATGCTTTTCCAATGCAACGATGCAGTTTGCACTATCCATTGCAGGATTCCTTTCCAGAGCATCTGACTTGTTTTTCCCTTTAGTTATCGTACTCTCTACATAACAAGCATTCTTATTTGCAAATCAATCCTAGAATATTAGGAAGCCGCACACTATCTGAAACTAACGCCAAGAAAGGGGGGAGGAAATATGAAAACAGACAATAAGGTGGAATTCCATAGTGGATATTATTTGGACAATAAAAAGGTTATGCATACTTCTGCTGAAAGTCAGAACAGTGTCTTAGGCGGTGCAGGACACACTTTTCTCTACCAGCCCCCCCAAATAAATTTATCCTCAACTCCGGCAACCAAGTTAAGGGTTCTTGCAGAAAAAGCATCCGAGTTTTTTTACACAGCAGATCAAACCTACCTATTTCTCTGGGGCACAGTTTTAGGGGATGAGGCTTAGCCTTACTTTCCAACCGGCACCACCGAGGGGGCAGTAAGGTCGCCCTGTGCTTTTTCCGGCCCCAGAGCAGGGTCCCCGCCATTTATTTCCTTCCTTAACCCTCCGGCTGCTCACCTGGGCGGCCATCACCCGTTGCCTCTCGGCGATCAAGCTGCATTTTTTACACTGGCAATCTCTCCACATGCAGAACCGCTTGTGGCCCTTCAGGGGCGAGGAGTAGCCGTGGTTCCTACAGCGGGCGCACTTGGGGAGCCGCGGGGACTTCTTCCCCGCAGCGGTGGCGGCCCCAGCAGGGCCCTGGGTTAAACCCCCCGAGTTGCCGCCAGCTCCGGCGGCCGCCAGCCCGGCAGCCTTCCCAAAAGGGCCCGTTTTGGTCCCCTGGGCGTGATGCTCCGACGAAGCCGACGGCTTGCTGAAAGAGGTGTCGTTGGGCATGGCGCCGTTTCCGAGCCGTTAATTGCAAAGAATTGCTCGGCTTTGCAAGGGAAGGGCTCGCTTTTTTTAACCGGAGCCTGGAAAAAAAAGGCGAGCGAGGGTCTCCCCGGAGGAGGCAAGCTCGCCTTTGCCCTGCAAAAACGGGGTTGCTTTTTGCTTGGGTTTCGATGGAGCTTCTGGAAGAACCGGCTGGCAGGTGGTAGCAAAGCCGTGCAAAGTGAGCAAGCCCACCTCGTCACTTTGCAAAGACGCGCGGGTCAAATGGGGAACTCGCTCAACTTTTTGCTATTTGTTTGAAGGTGTATTTCCAAAGCCCGGACCCGCTCCCGGGCGCTCTAGGCTCCACCCCCAAGGGACTCTAGCGGCCTTCTGCAAGCCTGACCCCCGCATTCCCTCCCCCTCGCCCCGGCTAGGCCCAATCTATGAAGCTCCTTGCAGAGAGATGCCTGCGAGGCAACGGCCTTTGGGTTACAGCCCACTTGCAAACGTCTATACAGATTCTCAGTTATCCATCCAGGTCGTGATTGTCCCAAAGATTGCTTTTTTTCCAAAAGGCAACTGGACTTTCTAGGTTTTTTTCTATGAAAACCTTCGCTTCTCATCCAAGAACTGAAGAAGCTTCTTGGACGAGAAGCAAAAGTTTTCAAAGAAGAAGAAAAAAACATCCAAGAAAATCCAATTGTCTTGGGGGAGCAAAAAAGCACCTTTGGATGTAGTGTTTGCAGGCTGCTGAAACTTAGTGGCAGGGTACATAAAGTAACCGAGTTTGGTCGAACTCTTCTCTGGCATTGCTGCTGGACCTGTTTCAATAGGAAACGTTTCCACCGCCCAGTTTCACGCGCCTGAGTCCCAAAGATGGGTGCAAAGCGAAGCAGGTCGCCGGCGCGCGCAAATCCGAGCCGCGCTCGCGCAAGGCCGCTGCCGCGCACAGGCTGGGTTTCTGCAACACAATCCTGTCACGGCTGCAAAGGGACCCACAAGTAGTTTTGTTGGCATGGATGGAGGGCAAAAGGAATGGGTGGCGTTGATAATTTGCAATGGGTGGGGGAGACAGACGCAAAAACGACACGTTTTTAATCTCCTTTGGGGGACCCCGTTTGTCCCCGGTTTCTTTACAAGTCTTTGCAAAGAGAAAGGAGAACTTTGGAGGTTTGCAAGCGTTGGCGAACGCCTTGAATTGGAGATAAGTCTTCGTAGAGGACTTAATTTCGTCCTTGGGTAGGATGAAGTGGAACGGGGGTGGAGGAGCAGAGGATCAGCAGAAATATGTCTCGGGCCAGACGATTTATGGAAAACAGCTGCTTCCATACCTTACTTCCACTTCATGAGGGGGAAGAGAAGTGGGAGATTTCCGTCCAATTTCACATCTTTATTTTGGCTGATTAACGGCTACAACCCACCACCTCCCTGGAAAATTCAAGGTTTCTCTTTGGTCGGCATTTCTGAGAAATAGTTCTTCAACGGCTGTAAATTTGAATTTGTAATTCCTAAATATATGTGGACGTTTCGTTCAAACGGTCTGAGGGACGAACACCATTTCTGTTCTAGAAAGGAGAGTATTTATTAAAGATGTCCGTTATCAGTTGCTGATTGGCAGTTTCGCTGCTAGAGGAAAATTTTGTTAAGTACTTCTTCGCACCTGCCCTAAAAGATTATGAATATGATAATGGAATGAAAACAAAATGCATATAGTATATGTGATTCTGACTTCATTACACAAGCGGGAAAATGCAAAATACAATTTTAAGTATTTGATGTGAAACACCTGAACAGAAATGGGAATTTGTGGATTTTCAGAGGAGAGGCAACTAGACCTAAGATTTCTAGACTGTGGTTGAAGAATAAAACAGTAATTCCCAACACAGATTATTGCTGCTGTGATAACATTGCAGCTGTGCCTCAATAATTCCCCCCCAAATAATCGATAACTTCAACAGCAAAACCTACTTTAGCTAAGTTGACCTAACTTACCTAAGTTCGTGAAACAAACAAACCTGTGTATCTGCTGTCAATAAAAAAATGCTGCTTTCTCAATCTTTTGAGTGTATATAAATTAGGATATTTCACCTAGTTAGAGGAATCTCTCCCCCTTCCAGGTCATGTCAGGGCCAAATTGATTATGAAGATACTACTATTGTTCATAGGCATTTTTTAAAAATACAGGCCTTTATGCCCAATTGCCAATGACAGAATATGATGCAAACAATCAGATCGATTGTCCAAAGTGAGGCCAGAGGGAGAAATTTGGTCCCCAGAGAAACTGAAAGACCTGATTTATAGGTCAAGACATCTGCTAGGCCTTGATCTAAATTTTACATTAATTATTAGTTGTGTTTGCATGACATGATAGCCCAAGGTAATGGATCAATAAGAATGTATGTGCCACAGAAAAACATCTTGCAGAAATGGACACTGCAAAGAATGATTTATTAATCAGATTGAGATATATTGTGTTGTCTGAACTCCAAGGGTATAAACCGCTGGTTTAGAATTTCAGAAACTAATAATCAAAACCTATCGCCATCCTTGTTTTCAGATTTTAATTTCTGTATAAATTTCTGTATATTCAGAACTTTAACTGCTCAGAACTTGGATAAAACAATGGCCTGATCTTGTTGAGCCTTTCAGTAGTTTTGCATAATATGGAACCAAACCTGTCAATTAATAGAACTAGCGGCCCTAAACTCGTGTGCAGTCATAAGGTATGCATATGAAAGGCTGTTGATGAGGCCTTAGTTTCTTAATAAAACTAAGTGAACTAGGTAAATGAAGAGGCCTGTAGTGGCCCGTAAGAAGGGACGTTATGAAACATGGGAAAACGGGCTTCTGGTGTGTTATTAGCAGTTGAGATGGCTTTTGTAAACAGGATGCTTCAATTGTGTTTTTTCACTTCAACGGCTGTAAAAAAAAAATCACTTCAACGGCTATGTGATGAACACCTAGTAGAGGATCATAAATGGTAACATAGCTTAAACCTGCTTTTGATACATGGAGATACCATACAGCTGTTAAATATTAATGGAGCAATATTTGTAAGAAATTGTAAGTCTTAAGGTAATGCATTTGCATGTCAAAGTGCCTATATAAACAGCCACTTCTGTCTGTAAATATGCACTGGGATGTGACTAGAGCAGGTGTCTCCAAGCTTGGCAACTTTAAGCCTGGAGGACTTCAACTCCCAGAATTCCCCAGCCAGCTTTGCTGGACCAGAGGGTTCAATGACAGCTGTACTATCCTTGGGAATGACCAGCAGGACTTTAGAGAGACGATGGCTGGTCACCTTCTCAGACCGAGAACTACAAGCAAAAATATGTCCTGAACTGGATGTTAGGCTGTTCCACCTGACATTAGAGAACACTGACACCAAAATTACTGAGAAGCAGAGGTTTCCACAGTTTCATGTCATTTTCACGTTTACAATGCAAGTGACATGGTTGCAGATACAGCGTGAAAGGCTATAAATAGCCACCATACGTTAACTGTCATAGATACTCTTAGTGTAAGTAGTCCAGCATCTGAAACTAAATCTCTCATGTAATTGTGGGGAAATCACTATTTCCTGGAAGTAACATAGATTGCTAAGAACAAATGTTAAGATAATTTTAAGCATACCTTTTGTAAGGATAAAGTCACTTAAGATGCAAATAGTGCTACCCACAGTGTATGCCTTACAATGTGGGAATTGACGTACTTGAAGATAGGTTTATTCACATTTTATATGCGCAGCCTGAGCAGTTTTACTTGTGGGCTATGTGATGAGCACCTAGTAGAGGATCATAAATGGTAACATAGCTTAAACCTGCTTTTGATACATGGAGATACCATACAGCTGTTAAATATTAATATAGTTTGATCACTTTATATTTAATTACATATTCCACCAATGAAACCAGAATAGGCACTTCCATCTAACAGAAAAGTAATCCTCCAAAAATCAGAACTAGAACAAATTGGGACCGGTAAGATAAGCAGAGAAAATAGGTTGGATCTAGCCAAGGTTGTGGAGAAATGCACTCCAGAAAATCTCCCAATGAATCTTAAAAGATTGGAATTGTGCAAGTCTCAGTATTTCTTTTGACGCTGTGGAACCAAAAATTGGACTTGGAGCAAGCTGAGGGGGAAGAGTTATCAATGCTTTTGAATTTTAGTGTTGGAGAAGATGCCTGAGAGTTCTGACCCGAGGCACAAATGTCCAGGCTCAAATTAGCCTACTCAGACACGGTGTGCAAAACTGTAGCTCTCTGGAGAAGTCTATAATGCTGGAAAAGGTGGAATTAAGTAGAAGAAGAGAATAGCCAACAATGACTACATGGTTGGAAAACCTGAAAAGTCAGGTTAGGGACAGATAGTCATGGAGAAAAATCTACCTATATGGTTGCTAAGAGTTGACACTGACTTGATGGCACCTATAATGGATCCCGCAAGAAGCAGTTGAGCAGGTGCTCACAATGCTGTCCATTCTGGTAGTGCCTCTCCCTCCCCTCCTGCTCACATGATGGAGAGCTGCCCTTCCCCATGGGTACGTGATTGCTTTTGGGATGCTCAGCTGCTGGCTCTCATTTAAGGCCGTTTGCAGCATCCCACAGTCACGTGTCCCTGATTTATGATATTTTTTGTTGGAAATCGGTGTTTATATCCTGTTTCAAGCAAAAGGAAAATGACTGTTGTGGATGCTAGGTTCGCTTAATAACGCCTGCAAAACCACAGTAAAATCAGGTGCAGTCATAATTTTGGGCTTAGTTATGGCTGTAAGTCAAGGATTACCTATATGCATCTGTATAAGAACAGACACACAACACAAAGGGAAAACTTAAGTTCACATACAGGCATAACATGTTCATTACACAGAAGAGAATGCAGATGCCTCCTTTAGCTCTTGCTGGTAAAGTTATTGGAAAAATTGTCAGAAGCTAGAAGCTGCATACGCATGGTCCTTTTATTTATTTATTTTTTCTAATCTAACACCATGTTGTAAAGAAATTATGTCTGGGCTCCACTAT